AACTTTTGTGTCCATCTTTAATCTTTTTTTTGTCCATTTGTAGTTTCTTTGTGTCTATTTGTAGTCTTTTTGTGTCCATTTGTTGTCTTTTTGCATCACTTTGTAGTTGTTTTCTGGCACCTTGTGTGTTTCTGTTCATTTTGCATCTCGTTGTATTGTTCTTGTGTCTCTTTGTAGACATTCTGTGTCTGTTTATGTCCATTTGTAGTCTTATTGTGTAACTTTGTAAGAATTTTTTGTCTCTTTGCAGACATTTTTGTCTCTTTACATTGGTTTGTGTCCATTTGTAGTCTTTTTGTCCATTTGTAGTGTTTTTGTGTACATTTATAGTGTTTTTTTGTCCATTTGTAAACTTTTGTGTCCATTTGTTGTCTTTTTGCGTCCAGTTGTTTTCTGGCACCTTGTGTGTTTCTGTTCATTTTGCATCTCGTTGTATTATTCTTGTGTCTCTTTGTAGACATTCTGTGTCTCTTTATGTTGTTTTATGTCCATTTGTAGTCTTCTTGTGTGACTTTTTAAGCCTTTTTTTTGTCTCTCTGTAGTCATTTTGTGTGTCTTTAAGGTTGTTTGGCATCACTACCTCGTTACTGGTAAAATCTCGAGGGTGCTGCTCGACTAATGACAAACTATCACAGTGTTCAGTTATAATCAGAGAACGAAATGATCACGTTTTAAACGCAATTACAAGTTGATTAATTAAATTTGCATTTAAATGAACAAATTAAGGAGACAGTTATTAATAAATGATTTATAGACAGAATAAGGATATTGGCACACTTAATTATGTACTTATTTCTTATGAGTTCTTAATGTGTCATTTATATGCAAACATTTAAACAGTCTGCCGTTATTCTGCTAGAATTAGAATTAGAATTAATCACAGTAATGAAACCAAACACGGGACTTTGAAGGCAGTTTCAGAACTGAATGCAGGGACTGAATGGTTTTTTTAGTGTTTCTGATGTGTTCTCACTTGTTTTATGTTGAAGTTGTTACCGTGCTAACATGCTAAAGTAAAAGGACGACCATGTCTGTCTCTTTGTAGCTGTTTGTCGCTCTTAGATGCCGTTTTTCGTCATTTTGTGTCTTTGTAGTCATTTTGTATCTTTTTGTAGTCATTTTGTGTCTTTGTAGTCATTTTGTATCTTTTTGTAGTCATTTTGTATCTTTTTGTAGTCACTTTGTGTCTTTTTGTTGTCATTGTGTGTCTCTTTGTAGTTATTTTGTGTCTTTTTGTAGTCATTTTGTATCTCTTTATAGTAATTTTGTATCTATTTGTAGTAATTTGGTGTGTGTTTATAATAAATTTGTATCTCTTTGTAGTTATTTTGTGTCTCTTTACAGTAATTTTGTGTCTCTTTGTCGTCATTTTGTATCTCTTTGTAGATGTTTTGTGTCACTGTGTTGTAGTTTGTGTCAACGTGTGGTCATTCTGTGTCTTTTTGTATTCATATTTTGTCTCTTCCCAGTAAATTTGCGTCTCTCTCCGTTCATTGTGTCTGTTGTTAGTATTTTTGTGTTGCTTTTTGAGAATGTAGTGTCTCTTTGTTGTCATTTTGTGTCTCTATATAGTTCTTTGTGTCCCTTTGAGGACTTTTTTGTGTCGTGTTGTAGTCGTTTGTGTCCCATTACAGTCTTTTTGTGGTTGTCTTTTGTCACTTTGTCACAGTCTCGAGTGTCTTAGTGGTCTTTTGTATCTCACTGTCACGGTTGTGTGTCTTTTTGTCGTCGTTACTGTTTGTCACACAGAGTTCCCACAGTATTGTGTAAACAGACTTCTGTCCCCACAACACGAGTAGCAGCAGTAAGCGCACATGCAGCGTGTGACGACGGGGAGGATTCACTCATTAGTCTGTCAGAACATGTCAGGATGTTGGTTTGCAATCAGACCGAAGCAGAATCCAATAAGCTGCTTCAGAAGACGCAGCCTGTGTTTATACGGAGCGCAGAGGAAACAAGAACAAACTCGAGAGACCGAGAGGAGAATAAATTTGATTATCATAAATATCACAGCTATATTCTGAAAACACAATAACTTTAATAAAAACAAAAAGTCCTCTTCTGTCTGTCAAAATGTTTTGATTTTATTCTTCAAACACTGCAGCTTTGTCTCTAGTATATTTGCCATCATAATAATCTGACTTCAATCTTTAAATATGACTTTTTTTTCCCCAAATATTAAGACTGAATTTCTTGAAAATATTGTGACTTCAAAACTACCCTTTTTTAACAAATAAATTATTATTTCTAAAATTTTTAAAGAAACGTTGCAGCTTTTTTTTTTCTTTTAACTATTAGATATTTTCTCTTGTCATGTTATAGCTTTTCTCAAAGTTATGACTTTTTTTTCTCAGAATACTTGCCGTCTATTCTCCAAACTGATAAAAACGTAATGATCACGACTGTCAGCGGTTATTTTTATATTCAGATTTGCACAATTCAAGGTGTTCACACACTACATACGATGTGCTCTTGTAGATTTTTCAGTTGAATAATGTGCACATTCCTGCACACTGGACATATTTCTATTACTTTTTCTATTACCTTTATATTTTCCTTGGATTCATACACTGGCTGTCTACTGACTTGCAGCGTTTGCTTTTAAAAAACACACGTTAGTATGAAGCACCAACACGCTGCAATAAAACTGATTCTGATCCAAAGAAACAGGCTGGAAGGTCGGAGGTCATTTACAGAATAGCAGCGCTGGAGCTGGTCGAGCTTTGCTCAAGGGCCTTCCAGCAGAACAGGTCACTCTACCTGCTTATTATTGCTCATTATTATTATTTCATTGTTATACTGTATTTAGACTTTTCACAATCTTGCACCTTATTTCTTCTATCAGCACAATTTGCACATCATTTTTCATGCTACTTCCCCTAATTTCCTTAACTGTAACACGTGAGAGCTGCTCCACACCTTGAATTTCCCCCAAGGAGATGAATAAAGTATATATTTATCTACCTACGCATCTGAAGGGCCTCCGCTGCCACCTGATGGACTGCGACAGAAACGATGAGCGAGAAAACAGTGATGTGTGACGAATTCTCTTCCAAATGGAGTCCTCCAGCGCACATGGATGCATGGCTGCAGGCGTAACCATAATCATGTTGAGAGCAGGGAGTGTATTTGAGGATGCTGAGTGAATTTAATCTGTTTTTTTTTTTTTTCTTTCTTTGAGGGGGGTGGGCGGACGTGGGGGCGGCGGACGATTCGAAACGGTCTAATTTAGGAAGCAGCTGCAGAGACAGACAGGACACAAGTACTGCTGTGCTGTGAGTGTGCATTAATAAATAATTTACAGCACAAATTGTGCTCTGCAGACACGGCGAGGGCCGACGATTGGCGAGGAGAGAAAAAGTGGAGGAGATTCTGTCTGACAGGTGGTTTGAAAACAGAAATGCAGAGATGCAGAACGTAAACAGTCACAGGAGGACAGTAATTTAATTTTCCCTTTTTATTTGCTTCACAAAGTGAGATTCTTCTTTTGAAAAGTGGTTACCATTGGTTACAGGTGAGCGTGTGTGAGGACAGACTGCTTCAAAACAAGAGTCCAGACACAAACAGGCTGATAATAAAGGAGGCAGGAAGAGCGAGGAGCCACAATATCGACGGGTTCACTCCAGGTCATTCAGCGAGACACGAACGGATTGTCTTCAGGTTTACTGGAAACGTTCACCTCTAAACAACATTGTCAACATGACAGGTCCCTCATGTCGTTCCTGATTTTGCAGCAGCTTTAACACCTTTTATTTTAGTTTATACTGACCTCATTTGTTGTATTTGTCATATTTGTTTAAATAATTGTTGTTTGTTTTACCAATTTGCTAACAAATGTCACAAATATAATATGAATGCAATCTTAAAATATTGTACCTTTTCTCTCTCTCTCAGACACACACACACACACACACAATACTATGCCTGTCATCTTAAAATACTATGATTTAATTCTGGCAACATTACAACTTTATTTTTAGGAGAATGTGCTCTTAATCCAAAAAACGTTACAACCTTCTTTTTAAAATATGGTTTTATTCACAATATATAATGTGATTCTTAAAATATTAGGACTTAAACCTGGAAATATTAGAAGTTCTTTGTCAAAACATTATGACTTTATTCTCAAAAACAATATGGCCTTTACCTAAAAAACATTATTATTACAGTTTTGTTTGCTAAAATATTATTGATTCATCACAATATTATAAGATGTTATTTTTCAAATACTGTAACTAACTGCTGGATTTTTTTTGTAAATGTCCACAATACTATTACTTTAATATTTAAACCTGCAACAATATATATCTGAAACTTTAACTACAACTCCCCACCAGACAGTTAAAATGGTAGATGAAATGTGAAACATCTTCCAGAACCAAACAAGAAGTCCAGTTGCTTTTTACTGACGCTATTACGAATATAACGTGATGTTACTCTTAAAATATTGTCGCTTAATTCTAAAACTCATGCTTTATTGTGAGACTATAACAACTCCTTTCCTAAAATGTTATGACTTTAATGTCAAAATTGTCTAAAATATTAAAGCTTAAATCTTCTTAAAATTTCATGCTAGTATTTGTTGCTGCCTGTTCAACAGTCTATGAAAATGTTTTGTTGCTTCTCTCATCTCAAGTACTTGATAGAATTTCTTCCATTTCAGGTTTTTATTCTGCATTTAGCTTGTTTTGTCCACCTGTTACACATTTCGCTGGTATTTTAATGCCTAATCTAACAGTCTTACAGCCATACAAACATGTTTCTTCCTGTTTTGATACTTACTTATTTAAAATTATTCATGTAGTTATTTTTGAAAAACGGTGCACTTTCTGTAATTTTGTTTTGCTTGTACACAGTTTAAGTTTATGCACGTGTAACAAGCCAACTCAAAGAAACTGCATTTTATTTGGTTAAACTCCAGCGCCATCTTGTGTCTGATGACGTACATTACGTCTCGCACGTACAGAGGGCCGCTCCCGTGACGTCACCACGTCGCCACTGACGCCGTTGGACTTTGGACGCTCTGCGCTGCACCGGCGGGGAAGTTAGCAAGCCAGCGGGACAAACACATTTACCGACAAACTACGGTGATTTACTAAGGTCTGTACCGGGAATTATACGTTTAATTAGTTTTCTCAGTTTAATAAGATGTCTAAATTCGAGCTGACATTCGTTAATAGCAGTTAACGGTGTGCAATATCCACAGGAGCTAACTTGAGTTGCTAGCCCCTGCACGCCCCCCAGTATGCCGCTGCACGCCAAACTCTATTTTAATTCTGACCTTTTTGAATTTCACATGTTTATAATCCGAGCACAACGTGGTTGACCATGTAAGACATTCTTAAAGTTTTGAGAGCTGTTGTGTGCAATTCGGCGTGTAGAGGATGCATTTTGCAGGACTTTAGTAGGTTTAATGATCGCACTTGACTGTGACTCACCACTGACGTTATCAGTAAAGAGTTGAATGATTGTAATGTGCACTGTTGTGTGTGGCTAAAATGAACATGTGTTGCTGCTTATTTGAGTCATATTTTGAAAGACAGCAGTTATTGTAGGTAAACAAGCATGATTTTTAGTAGTGTGTGGCGATGTGCAACAGTGGAAGTGGCTTTATTTGACAGGAAGATGAACCTAAACTGTCCAAGTACTGATGCAAGAAGATATTTAAAGCATTAAGTAAAGCATGGATGTTGTTTAGAATAGAATAGGATAGAATAGAACAGAAAACTCCCTGCATGCATACTTGATTAACCCACAGCAGAATGAAGTAACTGTGACAATCCAAGAAAATGTGATGTTATTGCTTTTGTAAAAATCTAGACCAGGCCGAGATCAAAAGACACTTTACCCAGACTTGTCAAAGCTGGACTAGAATAAAACATGATGTCAGTATAGTAAAACATGCAAGAAAAATAGTGATTTTCCTGCTTATTTCACATCTAGATCACATCAGACCCGATCCAGATCAGGGTCCAACGTCTCCAGAGACTTGTCAGATCAAGAAAAAGTTGTAGACTGTGTGACACAAAGTTTGAAATGTGTGAGGTTTTTATTCTTTTTGTTGAACTGCTTTTTTCAGATATAGATCACACCAAATACCAGTCAACGTAAACTTACCTTGGTTAGATGTAAATACTGCATAATAAACATTTGTAAACAGGTTTTAAATGACACTTTCCCCCCATTAGTTTGCTTCCAGACCACATAGGACCAGAACAACATCATATTAGGGTATTTTAAATTTTCTCCTTAACTGCGTAATTGGAATCTGTTAATCAGAAATCTTGTATTTTCTTTAAAGTTTATGTTTATTTCCCATCAGCTAATAAAGCTAATTGACTTACTCGTGGCTACTTTGCTGTTTTACATGCATCTGAAAACTAACTAATCTACTCGTATTATCACACAATGACTGTGCAAGAAGTTTCATACGACAGTTTTAATATGAAGCAGTGACGTTATTTCATAAATCCAACTTTCACACTGCTAAATCTACCGCAACAGGTTATTTAAACTGTCAGCATGTTTTGTTCTATTAAGGGAAAGTCATTGTTTAGTTTGTTTGTGCAAAATCTAGTTAAAAGCTGCATTTATTTATTTATTGCTCACAAAGTGTCTGAAGCAGCAGAATCACTCATTAAGTTTGTCAAAGATTCCACAAAGCGTTGCTTCACCTTTGCTCCCGAGATAACACGCGTGTATATTAGCGTCATGGAACACAAAGTTTCTTTGTGTTATGAGTTATTAGTTATGAACTGAATGAGCTATTCAGGTCAGCGTCTGAAAACCTGCCAACACAGACTGAGGTAACCACCTGTGAACCAAACTGAATAACGTGGGACGTTTATAGCTTCAGCTGGTCATAATCTCACTCTGCTGCTGTCTGCCTGCAGATCAAACATGGCCCTCACTCAAGTGTCCTCCAACAAATGCGCCGGTGGCTTCCAGAAGGTTTTCGAACACGAAAGGTGAGACTCATTCTCACACCTGTGGCCTCCAGAGCTGCAGAGTTCAGGTCAGCAGGTGGATTTGTTGGTTGATATTCTCTCACTGGACGATCACCTGTGTTGCTTTTCTAAGGTTTGCTGTTTTCCTTTAGTGTTTGCCGTAATAGTGCTTCATAAAATGTCTTTTTGGATATTTAAATGTCCTTTAGGCACTTTATTGGTGTCATTATTTATGGTTGTGGTGTTTTATTTACTGATACTATGTGTTCAATGCAGAAATGCTGTTGCAGCTCGATTAAGATGCTGAAAAATTCATTAAAATTATCAAACAAACTCAGCACACACAGTCAGAATGCAACATGTGTGCTATCAGGTGGATAAAAGCATAATAAAGCCTCTCTGTAGGTAATAAACACTCAGCTATTCAGAGTCAGATTTCAAATACGGTCTGAAACTCTACTGAAAAGTCCAGAAATTAGAATCTGGTGAAGTGTAGAAATGAAACAGAACTACATTCACATGTCTGACTTTATGTGTTTCTTTCGTGCAGCACCGAGTTGAAGTGCAAGATGAAGTTTGCCGTTTATCTGCCTCCCAAAGCCGAGACCGACAAGTGTCCCGTCATGTACTGGCTCTCTGGTGAGTCTGCTGCCGATGTCAGGATGTTTACTGACGAATGAATGCATGAGTCAACGAGAGGAATCTTTATAAAACCGCTCCAATATATTTTTTACTCATTAAAAAAGGCTTTATTTGTTCCTATAACTGTCATTTTTAGCATTTCCCCCCCCCCAAATTAATCAGATTCTCTTGCTCTAATGCAGTATCCAAAGGGTTCATGGAATGGTTCCAGTGAGCTGATTTGAAAAAAGACAAATTCTAATCTAGTTTATAAAAGAAGAAAGTGCAAACTAAGGTGACAAAAAAGCAGACGAGTCTTTTAACAGCTGGAAGGAACAGATTAAATGGCTGAAAGCATAAAGGGAACTAAAAGGGATCCAGGAGAAGCTTGTCTCCTCTAAATAATCCATGATCTCCCCTGAACACACGATGTGTAAATCAGATGGGGGTCTCTGTAACGTTGACATTATGCTATTTTTGCGTGTGTGACTCATGCATGAAGGTATTTCATCGTCTATGCGTGCTGCTCTGGCCGTCGCCATTGAAGTTTACTCACTTTTACTCAGAAATCAGAAAAACAAAACAACTTTCCTGCCGTAAAACAAAACAGAAGCAGAAACCAAAGCCTTTGACATGCAGAAAACAGACAGCAGTGGCTATTTTTTTTTTTAGAAATACTGAGAAATAGAAGCTAAACCGAGTGTTGTTTTTGACTGTGAAAAAAAAGGATGAATGAGGTAGCTGAAGGTAACTAATTAAATAGCCACAAGTGACATAGAAATGATTAGTTAAATATCTGATAAATGGTCAATATATACAGCTAGATGAATGGTAAGGCTAAAAGTAATGGCTGGAAGAGCTCTAATATGGTTAAAAAACAAAAACAGCTAAAATGATGGATGAATCGTTGAAATATTTAAAGAAGAAGTGGTTAAAATAGTTCACTGGAGCAGTAACTATAACAAGATAAATGACTCAAACATGGTAGTGGTTTGTGTATTTGCAGACTTTATCAAACCTTCACTGTTCTATGGCATTAAAAACATCATTATTATGCTGTATGATGGCTGAGATTGACCTAAAAGCCGATAAACAGCTGGACTGAGTCCTAACAATACCGACGTTTGTAGAATTAATAATGTAAACATTCAGTTTCTGGAACATGGAGTCACTGCTGTGGTGAGTGTTTGTGGCAGCAGGAGGATGAACAAGATAAACTCGCGTGTGTTTATAGTAATTAAACTACACGTGACTGACTGAGTTTAACACTGAAGCTCACTGATGCATTTGTAATAGTCGTCTGGCTAAATGGAGTTCAGTGGGACAAACAGATGATGTGGTTCAAACAGAATGTGCAGTGGTGGTTGTCATGAGATTTGTTATTTAAAAATGGAAAAATATGACTCGATAATCCGAACCTGAACAATCCTAAACCTTGATATCCGACAGGTTTTTAGGAAAAACGAACGGAACCCATAAAAAAACAGCCTTAACATAGTGACAGCCTTGGATTGTGACTCCGACATGACATTTAATGTCACCAATCAGGATAACGGCGTATTATCTGACTGAACAATCCCACAGATTGGCTACGTTCACACTGCAGGACTTAATACTAATTTTTTGTGAAATCTGATTTCTTTGTGAGTTCGTTCACATTTCTAATTAAACACGACTTGTATGTGATCTGCTGTGTGAACTTCATACGACCCAAAAGTGTCCCGCATGCGCAGAAGAGGACACGACGACGTCACACGCAGCGAGCGTGCTCAGTGAAGTAAACATGGATGGTAACGGTGGAGCGTATCTGCCACTCCCCCACCGCCACCGATGGTGGAAACAGAAGTGTGAGCGCTAACTAAACTAGGATCAGCAGCCAAGTACTGCCTGTGCGTTCCAACCACTTCCACCCCGAGGGTGCGCTCCGACGGGTACCCTCCCAACCCCACCGAACGTTGGGATATTCATCATTCATTGGGCCTGAATATCCAGAGAGCAAAAAGTGGAACTGGGAGCAGCCCTACTAGTTATTATAACAACTATGAACAATAATTAACAACAAATGAGCCTTCCAGCATCAAGCCCTCCTTGTATCTGGACCTCCATCTTGACTATCCGACAGCCTTGCTATCCGACATAAAAGCAGGTTTTACATTTAGTGTCGGATTATCGAGTCACGACTGTATTGTCTTATTCTTGAGGAGATATTTGGGTTATCAGTGTGACAACAGTTCTTTCATGTATTCATTGTAAGCTTGAGGTTCCATGTTTACCACAGACAGTTAATAATCTGTTTAAATAATCCTCAGTTGTCATTGTGATCGGTTTTTATCGTGCGTTCCTCTGCAGGCCTGACGTGCACGGAGCAGAACTTCATCACCAAATCTGGAAGCCAGCTCGCCGCCGCCGAACACGGCATCATCATCGTAGCTCCAGACACCAGCCCACGTATGTACAAACACTCAGCAGCACCTGAACATGACTGGAGTTGTTTTTACTGAGACTTGATGCACTCTGTGTATGAAATAAATGAGCTATGGTTGCAGGAGTGTGCTGGTTTTACACTGGCAGGCAGAAACACATGAACAGGAAGTGGCCATAGTTCTATTTGTGTGAACTAGCGCAGGCCTTTGTTATGCGGTTATAATGTGCTGCCACATGTTTTTATAGCGACTTTATTAAACTCTCTGTCTTCACCAAACACCTGTTGTATTGTTATTAACTGTTTAGTCATCAGTAGAACTTTCCACTCCAGTCGGGACAGATCAAACATTGTTCTGGCCCATTGTTGTGGGCAGTATTTATCGGTATCAGTACTTTTATTGCCCAGTTATTGATAAATTAAATGCCTGTCTGTCGTCACTCTGTGGTCTCAGCAACGTTTTTCTAACGGAGACACGACCTGCAAAAACTAAACCAGGAAGTTAGCTTCTCTCACAGTGGCTAATGCTAAGCTAAGTGGCTACATTTAAAGACAGCCACAGATTAACCTGAAACAGAGCCTGGAAGACAGTGATTATTAATGCTTTAATATATGTGGGAAATAAAAGTGATGGAACAGTCAAAGATTAAAAAAACAGAGATGAACAACTGATCAATCTGTGTTGATCCCTCATGAGCAAAGCAGAGCGTCCTAATTTAATCACTAATATTTCTATTGAATATATGCGGTTATAGTCACTGTTATTAATGACTAAGCCTCGTTATGAATGACAGTTTTCTTGCTATCACATGCTGTTAAAACATTACATATAATATCGGTCATTGGCCTTTCTTGATTCCCAATAAACCCTGAAGAACCCACGCTGTTTGTTTTCCTCTGAACTGACCCATCTTCTCTCGTCCTGCTTCAGGCGGCTGCGGCATCGAAGGGGAGGATGAAAACTGGGATTTCGGCACCGGAGCTGGTTTCTACGTCAACTCCACCCAGGACCCCTGGAAGACCAACTACCGCATGTACGCGTACGTCACCGAGGAGGTGAGACGGATTTATGTCGCCTGCTCGCCACAAAAAAAAAAAAAAAACAATCTTTACTTCTTGCTAATCTTTATGATCTTCTCCCTCAGCTCCCTAAACTGATCAACGCTAACTTCCCCACCGACCCAGACAGGATGTCCGTCTCTGGACACTCCATGGGCGGCCACGGGGCGCTCATCTGTGCCCTGAAGAACCCTGGGAAATACAAGGTACATGTTCATGATAGAATCCCAGCACTTATTTCTTATTTAACAAACAAGCTGTAGCTTTGACGGAGCCGGGCTGCTTCCCCATTTCTAATGTTTAGGAGTCAGTGTGTCTCAATTCACTGAAACCTGGGTTCATAGATAACAGTCGCTGTTAAGATAAAAAATACGGTGGGGTCTTGTCGATTTCTGCAGGGCATGGTGGTGGCAGTATCATGCTGTGGAGCCATGAGTTGAGAAATAATGGAGCTACAGTCTTGTGCAGGTTCATTGTGCACTTCAGAGATAAAACCCTCCTCTGACAGAATAGTACAAACCAGTTATATGATGGTGCAGAAAAATGTCCATGTTTCATCTACTCTGATAGTCCAACAACTGTAAAAGCTTTATTTTTCACCCCAAGAGGCTGTTTTTTTTTTTTTTATCCCTCCTGTGTTTGGCATCAGCAGGAGATTTAAAAATGTAGAGAATGAAGCCAGTCAGAGACAAATTACTGAAAGTATTTTTTTCCCCTTCTATGGTCACTATTAGGACAATCACTGAGCAGGTGTGATGGTGAATCCACTCCAATAGTGGCCCAACTGGAAGAGTTATGTAATATGTTAGTGGGCTAAAAGCAAGAACATGGTTTCCTACACATAGTGCTTCAAAAACCAATGTTACCTGTGACCCCAATGTTTTACCTAAAAACATACAATATGCAAAGAAATAAAACTAGACAAGTATGAGATGGTCAGGCCTAAGCTGTTTGTTGAATTGAGGTGGACCGAGCCTTGTGCTAAGCTACGCTAACCAGCTGCTTGCCATTTAGGCTGAGTCATAACAAAAAATAGCCAAAAATGTGCATCTTTTCTTGTAGACATGGTTTTTAACAGACGTGTCATGTGACAAAAGAGCAAACATCATTTTGTTTAACAGACTTTTGTTCATTGTGAAAAACCCAAACTGATCTGATGTATCCTCACACTCAAGTTGTTCAGAGCGCTGAAGACAGGCGTCCACGTCTTTTAGGAATCGTCTGCTTTACCTCTGACTGTGTTGTTCTAAAGCCAAACCGCAACACGTCTCCTTAAAGCATCGACTGCAATCGAGTTTTAGAATATTCTTCCATTTTTAAGGGTGTTTGGCTTGTAGCAGAAATTAGTTTATGACAGTTTTATATGTTTATTGTGCTGTTTAGTTTGTGATAACACTGCAGCTTTCCTAACCCAGATGACAACAACATTTAGTTTAAATAATATATATATTTTACAGCAAGCAACAAAAGTTAAAGTTGATTAAATATCACTTTATAAAAACGAAGAAACAGAACAGATGTGTCAGCATTTATTGTACATAACTAAAGATTTAACTATCGTACAAGAAACATTCTGTAACTTACATTTTATGCACATTGAAGAGGGATTTGTTTAATCGAAGACATTTCAGCAGATAAAATTTCTCTTCCACCTTTTCAACAGCAAAACTTAAAAAGGCAACTGTAGAAAGAAAACCAAAGTACCTTGAACGCTCACTTAAACAGCAAAACGTTCCAGAAACCCTTTTACATGAAGGCCTTTCAGGAACAATTATTCCAAAATGAAGTGTTAAAATAACACAGATGTTCTGAGTGTCTTTGTCGTTGGTTCATGTGCTGCTGAATCTCATTTTCCTCTGATGTCTGTGCATGTTTGGAGAAGTTGTGGCATCTTCTGATAGTCGTGAACGTTTCAGGAACATTCAGTCGACGAGCAGCTGTTTGTGTTAAATGCTGGTGTCATAATGAGGTCACGTCTTTGGTTTTCTTTCCAGTTTGTAGTCTGAGAGTTTCACACAGATGATTGTTACGTCACCTCCAGCTCTGACTGTCTAGAACCACGTTGTGTTTATAACCTCGGCTGAATGACGTCCATTCGTCTCCTGCAGGCGGTTTCTGCGTTCGCCCCCATCTGCAACCCGATGCAGTGTCCCTGGGGACAGAAGGCCTTCGCCGGATACCTGGGCTCTGACAGGTCCACGTGGGAGGTGAGACTTGCACCAGAACATTACACGTTCAATGAACTGCTTAACGAGCAGAGAGTAAAGAGAATTCAGCCACTGGTTTAAAGCACCGCCTGACTTCCTCGTCTCTTCCAGGCGTACGACGCCACCGTGTTGGCGGCGTCCTACTCCGGTCCTCAGCTCGACATCCTCATCGATCAGGGCCAAGACGACCAGTTCCTGTCGGCCAGCCAGCTGCTGCCCGACAACCTGATCGCCGTCTGCTCCGAGAAGAAGATCCCCGTCGTCTTCAGGCTGCAGCCGGTCAGTTAGTTCACTCTCTGTCCTGTCAAAGCAAAAAAAAAAACACAGAAGAAAATCCCTGTTTAGAGAAGATCTCGTACGTGATCTAAAGGCAGCTACTGAGATCTTTCACAGCGCTTAAGGTGCAACAACTTACTCTTAAGTGTTAAGTTGTGGTCACTGTTGTGTTGGTCCTCAATGTCCATCGATTGTAGTTTAGCTGATTCCAGACCAAACACCTGAATCATGAGCAGATGAATCACGCTACATGTAGATGAATGCGTGTGTTGTCTCTCTGTGCGTTCTTACCTGAGCGTTGGCTTTCCTCCTGCAGGGCTACGACCACAGCTACTTCTTCATCTACTCCTTCATCGGCGACCACATCAAGCATCACGCCAAGTACCTGAACGCCTGAAGCAGCAGCACGCGGCCGGCCGACGTCCTTCCACCAGTCACGCTTCTCTGTTTCGAACCTCAGCGAGTCAGTTTGAACCAATCGGGAGCCTCGGTGCCTTCAAGTCTGAGCGGCTCAGGTGGAAACAGGAAGTTTGGTTTTGCAGTGTTTCTGGGTCACAGAGGTCATGTGGAGTTTTCTGAGAATAAATAAAATCTTTGGATATTCAGTTGAGTGTCTCGTCTTCATTGAAGCTGCTGTTGTGTCACATTTTTAAACTGAAGTCGTTTTAGCATCACAAAAGGATAAAACTCCAAATTATTCACGTCTGTTTTAAAACACATTCAGTCGCCGGCTAGAGGAACTAAATCCACTCCACTACTCATACTATATTTACATTTTTCATATATTTGTGAGCTACTACATTGTACTTTTACACACTAGTACACTATTTAGGTCTTTAAAAGTTTTGTTAGAAGATACAGAGTTTGATTTTGGATAAAGATTCTTGATATTTAGCTCATTTCTGCAGCATGTGCCACGTTTCCTTTGTGTAAAGTATTAAATCTAATTTAAGGAAGCTGCAGAAGTCACTCCACACTGACTGACCACAACAATACAATGATAAATTGAAGCCGCAAGCGGCGATGGACGGGTCCTCGCCCTACGCTTGTCGGCCTTTGCGCACGGCGGGGTGTGGCGCAAACCTGCTCCGGGTGGAACTGTGATCCGGCATGTCGAGTTTGGGGCAGATCGGAGCAAGTGTGGCCTAAGGTACTTCCTTAAAAACGGCACATTATGTATTGGTCCTGATAAAGAAAAAGTCATACTATAGCATGTCGTTTTTGTCAAAAAATACTTCTTGGAAATACTTCAATGCATGTTGTAGAAATCACCTGAGCAAAGTATTTCACAAAGAAAAGTCATTTTCAGTTTTGGCGTGGATTAAAAATGTCATGCTATAGGGCTGCTGCTATAGCTCACCTGGTTGAGCGAGTGTCCTATGTGTAAGGCTACAGTCCCAATGTGGAGGTCATGAGTTCAAATCCTGCTCACGACCCTTTCCCTATAGGCCCTTTTCCCCTACTTTCCTTTCTCTCTCTCACTAACATGATCCAACAAAGGCACAAAGGCCAAAACACTAACTTCAATAAAAAAAAGTCATACTATAGTATGGCGTTTTTGTCAAAAAATCTCACGTTTCTGAATGTCCTGAAAACGCATCAGGATGTAGTATACAGTGGGAAAAGTGTCCTGAACTGGTTTAAAGTCAGCTTAGGAAGGTACTTCTGGAAAAAAAACACTTTATGTATTTGGACCTGATAAAAAAAAGTCATACTATAGCATGTCGTTTTTGTCAAAAAATCTCACGTTTCAAAATGTCTTCAAAACGCATCAGGATGTAGTATATAGTGGGAAAAGTGTCCTGAACAGGCTTAAAGTCAGCATAGGAAGGTACTTCCTGAAAAAAAACACTTCATGTATTTGGGCCTGAAAAAAAAAGTCATACTATAGCATGTCGTTTTTGTCAAAAATCTCACGTTTCAGAATGTCCTGAAAACGCATCAGGATGTAGTATATAGTGGGAAAAGTGTCCTGAACAGGCTTAAAGTCAGCATAGGAAGGTACTTCCTGAAAAAAAACACTTCATGTATTTGGGC